GTTTGACTCCTGGATGTATTGGAGAGGTACTGTAGTGAAACCTGTAGGTTTCCCTCTGGAGAGGCATGTTCCCCCAGAAAAAAAAGCCCTGGGAATTGTCTTGCTCACAGCAACAGGCAAAACTTAGTTTGTATTCACTTGAAAAAGGCAACTTGGTTATGTATTTAATATTATTTAATGTTATTATATGTGTCATATGTGTAACTCTGTTTTAAGCACACCTCTCTCTTAAGGGGTCAGCTTATTCATAATTCTCAGGAGGATATCTTTTCCAGAGTGGAATGACTGCCCCTGGGGGTAGCAAATGTGTTCTGGGACTGGAATGAGTGACCACAGAGTGGAATGAAAGCCCCTGGGGGTAGCAGGAGTATTCTGGGAACGGAATGACAGGCCCAACAGTGGAATGACAGCCCCAGGGGGTAGTAGGAGTGTTTTGCTACCCCTGGGGGCCTGTCATTCCAGTCCCAGTCCACTCCTACTACATCCAGGGGCTGTCATTCCACTCTGGGTCTTGTCATTCCAGTCCCTGAACACTCCTGCTACCCCCAGGGGCTGTCATTCCACTCCCTGGTCTCTCATTGCAGGTCCAGAGCACATCTGCTATCCCCAGGGGCTGTCATTCCCGTCCAGACCACTGCTACTAAATCCAGGGGCTGTCATTCTAGTCACAGAACACAGTGGGTTTTGGGTTACAGTTTGGGCAACTCAGTCTCTAAAAGGTTTGCCATCACTGTTCTAGGCATTGTTGAGCAAGTCTGGAGGCGAATTATGAAACTGAAGAACACAGGAAAGCTGTCTTCCCCCTCCCCTCCAAGTTGCCCATTGGACCATCTAGCTTAAAACTTATGGTTTCTAGTAGTGGTGATCTCAAAGGGTAGAACAAGGTCTCTCCATGCACCTGCTGCCAGTGACGCTTGGAATTAAAGCAGAAACCTCTTGTATGCCAAGCCACTGAATGAAGGAATTGGGGAAAGAAGGTTTATCTGTGTTTTCTCAAGGGGTCTGTTTTAATTGAGGTATGCATACTCTTAGCCTGACCTGTCTCACTCTGAAAGCTGAGGTGGAGTAGCTAAGATATAGAACTTGGACAAGGCAGAGCAGAAGTGGATTCAGATCCCTGTTTAGGAGTACCCTAATTAAGTTAATAACAATGTACCTACCTATATAGTTTAAGTTTTAAAAATTTGGCTCTCAAAATAAATTTCAATCGTTTTACTGTTGATATTTGGCTCTCTTGACTAATGAGTTTGCCCACCACTGCCCTAGGGTCATGTGGGGTACTGGGAGAGGATGCCTTCCTATCTTTGTGTGTTTAGTTTTTCTTTGGTCTCTCATCTCCCATATGTTTTTATCTGAGAAGGCTGGGGTTTCTTGATGGTTTTTATCCTGTGCTGTGTCCACTCTTACTTTAGAGTAATACAATGCTGTGTAATGCAGTGTAACTTACTTCTGAATAAATATTCATAGGCTACACCACCTGTGTCTTTCTGTGGAGATGGTGGACTATGAGGCAAGCTTCTTGAATGTTCATTTTGTGCTTCACATTTAAAGTAAGCAAAGCAGTACACATTACCCTCTAAAGGGATGAGCAGGAATTCCAGCGTCTAGAACTGCCTAACAGCACCACTGTTAGACAGAACCTCTGTCCTAGTTGCGTTTGCCTAGGCCAATTTGAGAAAACACACAAAGCAGTCCTGTAGAGTAGAAGACCAAAATTTTTTTTATTAATTAATAAAGGAAGAGTACAGATCTCAAGGTTTTGGAACCCTGAATACCCAACAGACTCTTCAAGTGTTACAAAGGGTGACATAGGATCTTATACTCAAGATGATGCACACAAATGGAACAAGATTATTGGTTCTATCAAATATCAGCACTTTGACCTAACAGGTCTCTGATTGGCAGAAAACCTTTTAGGCTGGGCTTTCCCAAGTAAAGTTTTTTCTTTTAGCTGAACAATAAGTGTTTCTTTCTCTTATACTGTAAAATTCTAAAAGTATCTATATGGTTTACAAGGTGCCATTGTTCTTCGTTTAGCCAGAAACATGCGCAGTTATAGCTGGCCTACCAAGGCCATAAGCCTCAGCAAAAATAGCAAGTTAACATTTTGTACTTTCAGCATTTTACCTTCCCAGCGTGCATCCAAACAAAAGTCACAAATGAACCAGAGTTAATATCTGAATACATTCATGATGTTAGAATCATAAATGGCACTTAACATGTGCACCATGGAAGTGCTAAGTGCACCCACCAAGTCAAACCTGTTAGTGACAGAGTATAAAGTGTTTCATACACTGTGCGTACAACACCACTGATGGGAGCTGAAAGTAAAACATCTCAAGGCAAAATCTAGAGAAACCCCTACTCAGCTCTTATTTCTGTAGCAAGGCCAGATGAAGTTTTTAATCCAGACCTAAAGACATTGCATGAGGTCAGGGTCAAATGATGGGGCTTAGGGTTGCAGCCCTCTCATGAGCTTGGGAAGGAACTGACAGTACAGTTCTAAGGAGAGTCACACCCTTCTAAGCCCATTGACTTCAACAGACTTAGAAGGGTGTAACTCTGTTTAGGATTGTGCAACGTGTCACTCTTCATTCATGATGTCACAGGAACTATATAACAGATTGTTCTGAAACTGATGCAACCACATTCCAGGCTGTATCCCAAATTCCCAAGGCCACATAAGTGAGGGAAAAACAGAATTTTTCTTTGTTTATTCAGACATTCCCCGCCTCCCTGTCTAATGGTCTCACAAACCACAGATTTGTGGTTTGAATGCTTAGGAAATGCAATATCCTTGAAACAGAAGTATGTCCTTGAGGGAAAGTGTCAAGAACTGAACAACAAATGAACAAGAATGATGTCTTAGCTGTGCCATCCATTGGTTACTGGGAAAGACTTGCAGCCTTCCAAACTGCAAGACCCCCTTGCCACCAAGGAACAAAACACACATAGCATAAGCCTTTCCTGGCAAGATGATTTCTGCACATCCCTCATTTTCAGCTTGCCCATTTGGGATGTTTTACTTTTCTGTCATGCTTGTCACAAAAGATTTGACCATTTTCTCTACCTTAACTAGGTGTATTATCATCATCATCCAGCTGAGTTCTAGGCAATGTTCATTTTAAAAATTGCTTGCACACATTTATTTGCCTATCCGGAAACCTCTAAGCTACCTTTCCATTAAAAAATAGCATGATGCCCATACTGGCTTAGAGCAGTGAAACTGATAAAACAACTATGAAATCAGGATAGCTGAAACAGTTAAAGTTCAGGGATCCCAGTATTCTAAATAAGTTTTAATTGATGCTGGAAGGCTTGTCAAGTGGGGGCAACATACAGCTCCTGGGGGAGGGAATCTTGGGGCAGCTGTCAAGAAGCCCCTCATGTTTTCCCCAGCAAAGGCACCTGGGAAAATTTGGGTTCCCACAGTACAGCTTACTCTCTTCAACTCTGGATGACCTCACAGCACAGGCAACACATACAGGTGAATGTGGATACAGTTTGAATTAAAATACACAAATGAGAAACATTAATCCCTCGGGGCCCTGCATCCAGGGCCTCAGATAAGGAGAAGGAACAGGGTTCCAGGGCACCCAAGTCTTTCTCTTCCTTCCTGATTTTGCTCCTGTGCAGCTTATAGTCAAAGCCAACATGTCCTAACATTTCCCCCCCACCCCCCCCCCCCCCTATATTAAGGCAGTGCTGAAGCTGGTACTTGCTTCCTGGGCATTACCTGGCTCCTCCCCCTTCTTTTGATAAGCTGCCACTAAATGGCTGATCAGCAGGCAGATGGTTCTTAAGAATCCAGTGCCTCTGATCAGCGTTGAGTTAGGCAGTGTTTTAAAGGGCCCAGCATCACCACCCGTGACACTTTTGGTGCTTTAAACCACCTGTTCCCAGTGGTAGCCACCCACCCAAACAGGGATCATTGTTGCTTCTCCACGATCAGGGGAGCATAGATGGAGCTGAGATCTGCCGTGTCCCCTGACAGATGATGATGATGCCATTTTGGGCAGCATGACCTCGGAATCATGCTTAGGCAGTCCTTCCAGCTTTTGACAATGGTGGGCAAATATCAGTACTTTTTATGATCATAAAATTAATACTAATATTGGATAGTAGAACAAATTACCTATTGCCAGGGACTGTGAAATGGGGAGATGTAAGTTCAATGGGTGGGTGGGGGAGGACTAAATCAGGGAAAGGAAAGTGGCAGCCATTGTACATAAATATGTATGTTTCCTAGATGAAAACTTCGCCGTTCCCCATGACAAAAGAGGGGTTCTTGGAATGGTCAACAAAGGACGCCACAGCAATGGATCCCAGTTCTACATCACACTACAGCCAGCCCCCTATTTGAATGAAAAATATGTTGCTTTTGGGTATGTATAAGCACTCTATATTAGATCTCAAATACAAATATGAGTGTGGTGAGTGCTGGTCTAGAATCTGGGTGACCCAGTTTCAAATCCCCTCTATCTCTCAGCCTAACCTACCTCACTGGGTTATTGTGAGGATAAATTGGAAGGATGGGAGGATAATAGTGTAAGCCACTTAGGGTCCTCAAGGTACAATTAACTAACCATGTGTTGCATGTATTATAATTGAAACATGGGAGGCAGTATTGCTGTAATGGCAGAATAAAGCATTTAAACTTGAACAGCATCATGACAATGGTTGTTATTGAAATTCTGATGAGACTTTCTAGTATTTATTGAGATTTTTCCTGTTGCAGGCAATTGATTGAGGGTTCAGAGGTTCTGAAGAAACTGGAAGCTACAGAAACATTCAATGAGAGGCCAGTTGTAGAATGTAAAATTATTGACTGTGAAATTTTTGAGCCTTGATTATAGAGGTTCGATTTTTTTAATTGCATAATTTTTGATTGTTTTTATGATTTTAATGATTTTTAATGATTTTAATGATTTTATGATTATTGGAAATGTTTGACTAATATAAAATAATTTTGTTTCATCTATAGAAAACAAATCTAACCCTTTTGGTGTCCTTTCCCATTTTAGAAATTGTCATTGCATTTGATAACTCAATGGCTTGGGAACCTAAGACTGCTTCAGTGTAGCTACACTTCAGAGAACTCCTTTGAGTGCACCCAAAACAACATGTTCTCAGCTCTTCAGACCTCTTTTCTTCCAAGAGCAGCCTCCTCTGATGCATCCCCCAATTGCTTAGTAAACTCCAAAGTCTCAAAAACTGACGGTCAAATAAGGCAGGGGATTTGTTTGGACAATAAATTAGTACAAAGTCCTACTACGTGGTTATAATTAGCTGTGTTGTTCCTATAGACACAAAGAAGGTTGCATTAATATGTGATAACCAACAACAGAGAAAACATTGATGTATTAGGAGCAGAAGTCACAAATGAATTCTCTGTCTCTCCCATCCTCCCCACCGAAAACCCACTGTTTCATTTTCAAATTATTATGTCTGTACACCAAAACTCTCTTTGTGTCTATGAGCATTTGTAGAATTTCTAGTGTGGCACAATATTTGTTAACAAGGTAACATTGGGAAAATTCTCACCAAAATAGAAGCTGAAACTGCATGCAAACCAAAGCTAAACTGAGGGCATAACTGCTTTACTTCTTGCATCAGTGGAGAACTGAAAGAGTTGACACAGCAGTGCGTAACCACCTGAACGTGGGTGAGGAATCGAAACAAAGAACTTTATATCCAAGCAAATTATTTAGAATTCTATTCCATGAGGCAACACTACTCCCATTTCTTACTCAACAGCAGATAAGTTATTTGAATTATGGGCTGCTTCAGATATTATTTGTCCTTATATCTACACTTGATAAAAACACACATAGGGAAGTGGCTCAGAAATCATCATAGACAGGCATGTTTGCAATGTGAGAATACTGAACATTATTATTTTAATGGATGTACATTACATTGTGTCCCTTCTGAATTCTATTATTTTAAAAATATGCATGTATTTAATATTTATTTATTTATTTTATTTATGCCCTGCCTTTCTTGCCAAAAGAAGGATTACACAGTATAAAACAAAGCAATCAGGTAACATGAAGCATCCGATAAACAGTGCAATAGGACCAGAATGACAAAAATTAGACAGCAGTGCAAAAAAAGAATCAGACTTAATATATCATAAGCAATAGAATCAACTCTCTAGGGAGGTGGTGAGCTCCCCCGCAGTGACAGTCTTCAGGCAGTGGCTAGACAAACCCTTGTCAGGGATGCTTTAGGCTGACCCTGCATCGAGCAGGGGGTTGGACTAGATGGCCAGCTCTATGATTCTATGATAAACAGTGCAGGACAAAAGTAGAAGACAGCGCAGTAAGAGCAATATAGTACATACAATAAACAATGCAATAGACGACAATTCTGTTCCCCTTATAAAAGCACCCTCCTGAATTGTTCTATTGTACTACAGCCATTTGTACTACATTCCCTTTATAAAAATACCTTCCTGAACAATGCAATTTTATACAATTTGTGTCGGAGCCTTTCTTGTCTTCTCAGGCAGGCCATTCTACAAGGCAGGAGCAACAACAGAGAATGGACATGTACAGACAGCTGTCACTCTCATCCATTTGCAGAATGGCACTGTGACGTCCCCTTATCTGGGGAGGCCTGGTTTCACTTGAGAATGTTCTTTTTATTTTGTTTAACTGAGTAGGTTAGGCTGCCACCAGGAAATTTTAGGCTTTCCAAATCTTTATACTTTCTTTTGGCTATCACTGGATAGGTAGGTCGAATTTTTAAGTCTCATGAGGGTCTATGTGTTTCCTGAGAAATTATTTATTTCAGAGCTGGCAGACATAAATAAAAGAAGATTTATTGAAACAGTTCATAAATAAAAGTGTAGAACAATGTAACCAGTAATGTGAATAATTTTAACAATTTCATTGTGTCTCACACAAGATCTGCTCCCTTTCTGACAGGGATTTTTCAAGTAACTTTGTAACTCATTACTCAGTGTCATATACGTTTCCTGTTTCACTCCAGTCTGTCACTCAGACTTTAATTTAACTTTTGTTTCCTTATACTTTTAACTTTTCTTCATACACAGAACTTAACTCTTGTATCACACACAAGACTGTCTCTCTCCCCCAGAACTCAGAACGAACTAACCTAACAACTGTCTTTATCAACTGTCAAACCTCTAACTGTCACTCCTTAAGGACATACCCATTCATCTACTCAGAAACCCTTTCTAAAACCCCTCCCCCTCTCTGTCAATCACCAATCACACCACACTTGTCTCTTCAAGCACTCTAGTCAATCACACAGCCATGCAACCAAACTTTTAAAGAGACACACACACATATAAAACAAGGAATAATTACAGGCACCTTCAGAAAGCTTTGCTCAGATGGGTGGAGCTGCTGTGGCAGAACGTTGTAGGAGAGTTGGTCTTGCACATATGTGGATCCAAGGCTACGAAGGGCTTTGTGTGTGATAACCAGTACCTTGAATTGAACCCAGTTACTGATAGGTAATAGAGTGACAGGAGAATGGGTGTAATATGTACACTTTGCCAAGCCCTCAGTAGTAACTGAGCTGCAACATTCTATACCAACTGGAGTTTCCAAGGTGACGTCAAGGGCAAACCCATGTAGAAAGCATTACAGTAGTCTAATTTCAAGGTCACTATTGAATGTATCCAGGTGGCCAGATCAGACAAGTGGCGATAGGGTAGACCTTCCAGGTTAAATGAAAACAGAAGAAAATGTTTTTGTAGCTGCACTAACTTGCTTCT